TGGGGGGGGGGTTTGAGAGGAAAGGAGAGGAGGGCGTTGGAGGAGAGAGAAGGAGGACGAAGGAGAGAAAAGGAGAACAAAGAGGAGGACGAAGGGGAGGAGGACGAAGGAGGAGAGAGAAGGAGGAAGGAGGACGAAGGAGAGAGATGAGAGATTAGAGGGTTAAGGGGTTTTATAAAAGGGATTTTTTTAATGTTTGGCACTGGTTCAAACCGGTGGGATTACTATTTGTCCCACCGATTCGGTTTAAACTGGTGCCAATATCCTTCCCTCAAAATCCCGCTCATTTTTTTCCCACCAGTTTTTAAAAATCCACTACAAGAAAAATGTCTTTTAGTCGCGTTTATTTCGTAGAGATTGTACATTTGCTACATTATGCAAGTATGTTTGTGAAATAATTAAGGAAGTCGTATCATTTTACAATCGCGATGGTTTTTCCATATAAAATCGATACGGAAAACATAATAATACATATCCACACTATTTTTACATATTTATATAATTTTGAGAAATCGTATCATTTACAATCGCCACTAAATCCTAAAAATCGATACGTAAAGCCTTTTCAACACTAGATATATAAATATTGTTTGACAAAAAATACATAAAATATGTAATAGCTTATTGGTGAAACATTTAACATAAGAGTTTGAGGTTGCATGTTCGAATCCTGTAAAGATCGTACGCATGTATTTTTTTTTTTGGAAAAAAATGAGTTATACATTTATAGCTATTGTAATCGCTACAATAATCACCACGATTGGATGTAGTTTTTCGTATCGATTATTGAGGCCAACCCCAGCGATATTGAAAACCACTACTAAAGGCTAAAGCAACGGGGGATATTGTATCGAATGACCATTCGTTGGGAAAGCTTTTTGTTGCAATTACAATCGATACTAAAGGTTAAAATAATTGCTACGAAAAGCTTATTTTCTTGTAGTGATCGGTGGGCATTACTTGATGCTAATCTTCTTTTTTCACCTAGTGAAAAAAGCAAATTATAAATTGTATTTACTAATACTTTTTCGCTAATATGAATTACGATCCCATATTCCTACTTATAATACACTAGGGGGTGTTTGTTTAGGGGGATAAAACGGGAGGAATAAGGATAAAGGATGAAGATAGAAGAAAAGTAGTGTTTGTTTAGAGATAGGGATTAAAAGAGGGTCAAGGATAGGGATTAAAATACCCCCTTATCCTTCTATTTCTATAACTAAGGAGGTGGTATAAGGGGAAGGGATATGAGATAGAGCGTTCTCAACTAGGAAGGCCAATCCCATACGGAACATAATGTAGATGGCATGTATCTATATTCGTCTAATTTCACGTTAAGAGTAATATTTTCTTTAGAAGGTATTGAGTGTTGCAAGCCCTATGTAAAAATTTGTGCAGCAAGTATATATATGTACAGCGCGTTTCTGGTGCGGTTGGTCGCACGGTGTGGCAAGGTGCCATATTAGTAACCCTTTTAATAACCCCTCAAGTAACCCCACTTAAGTAACCCCTGATCAAGTAACCCCTAACTGACCTGGTAACCCCTAGTGACCCCTGACTGACCTGGTAACCCCTAACCTAGTAACCCCTGACTGACCTAGTAACCCCTAACTGACCTAGTAACCCCAAGTAACCCCTAACCGACCTAGTAACCCCCTACCTAGTAACCCCTAACCGACCTAGTAACCCCGACCTAGTAACCCCTAGTAGCCTCTGACCTAGTAACCATTAACCCACACCCAAACCCACCGTAACCACCATCAACACCAACCTTTCTCAACCGCCGTCCTCAAAACCTTAAACTCCACCACACCACCACCAACTCCCGTACCACTAACAACCATTAAAATTGTTTTAAAAAAATTAATCAAAAATCGCCCAAAAAATCATCAAATTATTCAAAAAATTTGGAGTATAACTTACCTTTGCATTTGAGAACAAATTTACGTACGAGTTTATTGTTCTTTACCTCATTCCATTCAAATTTTCTTCACTTTGTTCTTTCGTCGTAATAGGGTTCGTAGTAGCATGCAAAAAAAATAATCAAATTGGTCACTTCAACTTGTTTATATGTAAGTTTGACTAAAATTTGTTGAATTTGAGAAAAAGTAAAACAAAATTGCTTGAATTTTGGAGCAGTTACAATGGATTTTAGAGAAAAATTGATGGTTTTAAGAGAGAGAAGATGATGGGAGTGTGAAAATTGTTTGAGGAGAGAGAAAGTCAAGATGCCTTTTTTTTATAAGCTTGGAGAAGAAGAAAAGAGGAGAGAGAAAAAAAAATTTAAAAAATTAAAAGAGAAAAAAAATTGTGGCTGGCCACACGGTGTGGCCAGCCACAAATGAAACCGTGTGATATATGTATGTAGAATTTGGTAGAGGATTTGTATTATTTGATAGAGGATATGTAAAATTTGTTCAAAGATATTTATTATTTGATATAGGATACGTACAACTTGTTGGAGGATATGTACAATTTATCAAAACATATGTAATACTTGTATTTGATAGAAGATATGTACACTTTATCTTTAATAGAGGATATGTATAGTAGGTTAGCGAATACGTTTTATTTGATAGTATATATATATATATATATATATATATATATATATATATATATATATATATATATATATATATATATATATATATATATATATATATATATATATATATATATATATATATATATATGATATATATGTAGTATTTGGTAGAAGATATGTCTTATTTGAAAGAGGATACATACAATTTATTAAAGGATATATAGTATTTGGTGGATGATATGTATTATTTGATAGTAGATATGTGTTATTTGCTAGAGGATACATACAATATGTTGGAGGATATATATTAATTTTTGGAGGATACATACAGTAATACAGTTTGTTGCTGCAAAATATTGGGTGCCCCTTTGTGTATTTTTTTTAACAAGACCTTTTAATTTGGTCCTCGGAAGTTAGATAACTAATCAATATATTATTTAAAATAGTATTAAATTTAAAATGCATGCCAAAATTACGTGGTATAACTAATATTTACTTTACTCTAGTACTTTCACTTTTAGTTCTCTTATTTACACCCCGTGACACACATTAGCTTTTGCCGTTTTGAAATCATTTTTATTTGTCCTTAATTAGATTGACCACTTTCCATTGTACAAAGTTTTAGAGGATAAGTATGCGGTTAAAAAATTATCAATTATTAATTTAGCATAAGGGTTGTTGATGTATTGTGAGTTAAAGCGTTTTATTACTAGTTTAATTAAAAAAAAATGGTTTGAAAAAAAAGTAGCATAGTTCAAGAGTAAAGTAAAAATATAATTGGTTAAACTTCAACAAAACAAATGATAATAAAAATACGGGTTAAATATTTAAGGTGCAGCTTAAATTATTTAAGTTTTTTTTTGGTGTTTAGAGAGCCACGAGGGGGATGAGAATCGATCTCAAGATCTTCTAGAATCGGGAGGAAAGCTCTAACCACAACGAATTTATTTAAGTTGGTATATCGTACTAACTTATTTCAAAAATGTTCAGATCAGATGAGATGATTTTATTTTTTAATTTGCGTTATTTAGTGTTAAATGTCATTATTTTTTGTACTTTAAATAATTAAGAATTTTTTTTGTGTATAGAAAGTAAGCCTGTACAAAACTATCTGATAATCCAAAAATCCGATAATCTGATCCGCAACTATCCGAATTTTTGGATATCTGATCCGAGTTTTCACTTCGGGTCAAATATCTAATACGAAAAGATGGATATTGGATGCAGATGGATAATGATTTTCAAAATTTCGGATATCTGATATCCAAAATATAAAGGCTAAAATAGTAAAATATATATAAATTTTCTAAATTGTTCATATAAAATTGTCTACTTATAATAATATTCTTAATATATTTAATGATAATATTTATTGCAGAAGGACTACTATTTTGTTAAAATATGTTGTACAACTCAGCGATAAAAAAGCGGTAAAATTAGTGAAATTTACAAAGTAATCATAACTCATTTCAAAAGCATCCGATACGAAAATTTTGGGTATCAATTTCTGATATTCGAGTGTTCGAGATATCCGTGAACAAGCCTAATAGAAAGTACGATCTAATAACATCTCATTTCATAATTTTTAAACTTATGGATAAGTGTATTAGTTAGTTTGGAAATATAATTAAAACAAATCAAATAAAAAAAATCAAATCGGATCTAATCATATTATGTGCATAGCCTAAAATTTGTAATGTAACAATCTATGTGAGACTTGAAAAACGTCTTTGTAAAAATGAAGGGAATACGTAACACCGACAGCATATGTGCAAATTAAAGTCAGTGTATTAATTAAAAAACAATTTTCATTACACTACATATATATTTTGTGCACAGTGCACTAAAAATATATACTAGTTTTTTTTTTTTTTTTTTTTTTTTTTTTTTTTTTTAACTTATTTTAATGAATAAAAACTAGTTATTACTCATTTAATTACCACACCTAAAGATTTTATTCTAAGGCAATACTTTTATTCATTTGCCATACAAAAAATTTGAAACTGACAAGTAAAGAATCATATAACTAATATATAAAGCTAAACTTTTAGCCAGGTCACGAAATAGCGACACTTGACATTCTAATTTTTCGCCAAGTGTTGCGCCACCTTGGATAAATTTAAATAGACTTCATATGATAAAAAAAAACCGTTAAGTGTCGCGACACTTTGGATAGATTTCATAAGATAAAAAAAAAAAGAATTAGGTAAGAATTCTATAGGATAGAATTTTAGAATAAGATTATTAGTTTAGAGTTATATTTTCGTTAAAATACCAAATAATAAATTTATAATTAGGCCACAAGACAATATCATTTAGCGTTTTAATTTTTCGCCAAGTATCCACGTTGGATAATTGTAGATTGACTTTGTAGCAAAAAGAGTTAATTTAGAAGTCTATTTTCAATCAAATTGAATTATAATACATAGTATAATTTTATCTTAAAAGTGCATAAACTACCCGGACATCGCCAGGGCACAAAACTCGTGTATATATAAATGTAAGAACTACACAATGCATCTAAAATTTGAGTTACACGTTCTTTCTTCAACACAATGCATCTAAAAACTTGTTTGGTGAACCCATTTAGGGTCGATCAAGTTCATTTGGAACATTCATCTTAACCTACCCAAATTATATATAGATATATACTTTGTGTAAGTATCCATCTAAAATTATTTCGGCCTAGGTTCGACATAAATATCGTGTATAGAATCAAGCTAACTTCAAAGTAATTGCCTAATGCTCATCGGATGGACAAACAAGAACGGGTCGTTGTATGCAATTGTTGCTGCTGCCTGATTCACAAATTCTGATGGATGAAATCCATCCATGTATCCGTGAAAGAGCCTATTACGACAAGGGGGAGAAAGCGGCTCACACATGAAATCACTTCTTAATTTGCAACAATATGAATCCATTATAAACCCTGCAAAATTCAAAAGTTTGGATTATAATTATTAGAACAATGTACACATGCTCTTTAAAACGGAAATTTAAATTAATTTAAACTAGTAACGTAACAATTGTTGACCCACGTACCAAATGGGAATGAAGTTGAAGATTGCAAGGCCGAGAGATTAATGTAGGTAAATTTGGCCTCAAGGAGCTTTAAATTGAAATCATCTACTAGAGAAACAAGTTTTGTATTGAAAAGATCTACTGCTTTGTTGATTTCATCAACACATTTTGTTGAATTGAATCTAGCCTTTTCAGCTGGAGTGCAACCTATTTGACCTAATCCAAAAACCACTATCTTCCTTGCACCTGAATCATATAGTGCCTACATCAGAAAATGCATTAATTAGATAAGTAATTAAAACAAAATAAAATATTTATCGAGTGTTAGTTTACATAGATTTGGAAGTGTTGTAATTAACAACACACATATGAGTACATAACGAGATATATATATGGAGAAGGGAGGGAGGGGAGAAAGAAACAAACACATACCAGTAATCGAGCTCGATATCGAGATATGAGTAGTGTTGCATATTCGTCCTTGGTGAAGAGTTTGCTACTAGGAAATTGTTGTGGGAGGAAGTAGTTATTAATGTAGTCATTGCTACCAATATTGACAGTGTACAAACACTTGTTTAAGTAGTTAGCAATCGGTCCTTTAACCATCGATTGAAGCATTGAGATTGTGACGTTGTAATTTTGTAATTGCTGATCCAACCAAATTCGTTCACCCTGAAAATGGAGGAAACAATTATATATGGTAATCAAATAAAATTATATTATCAAACCCTTTGTAGAAAATGTTAGTTACTCGTATTTTCAACTTTTTTATTTATGGAAATAATGTAAATTACTTCCTTCAATTTGTTCCTTCAAACCCTTTTATTTGCGGTTTTTTTTTTCAAAGTAGAAAACCGATCCAAATTATAATTAAGCGAATCTAACAAGTAGTTACTTAATCACTTGATAGTGTTTTTTTTTTTATAATGTATAAATTATTTTTAAAAAAAGTCAAAAGTTTGTGTGCTTGATCAAGTGATTAATTAGTGAATGGAAAAATCTTTTAAGAACTATTCAGATTTGGTTAAGGAAGTGTCATTATTATTTTTTGACTAGAATGTGTCATTCATCTTCGATCTCCATATATAATGCATTATTTTTCCTTTTTATTTTATAGAAATGTTGACATACAAGAAATAATCACCAAAATTTACTGTTCATAATAGCAGAAAAAAATCATATTAATTTAATTATAATGAAAAGGGATAAGGGTAAATTGTTATTTACAATATGCTTTTGCCATGATATGATTCTTTTGGTTCCCTTTTACAAACATAAAACGATGCAAGATATAAAGTTTATAATAGTACCAAATTTGATCCAGTTTCTGGAAGAATTCCTGCAGCACCAGATGCGTAATTGACGCCTCTCAATGCATCTTGACCAATGTGAGCACTATATGGTTGTATAAACTCTTTAAATCCCAAGAATTGAGCTTTAATATCACCAAATAAAAAAAAAATTATATTAATAACTATTTGGTTTAATCTTTTTTTTCTTTCTTTCTTTTTTATTTATTTTTTATTTTTTTTCAAACTAAGCTCCATATGATAGTATGATAGATAATTAGCATAGAGAATTTAATTGATTTTTGAATTGAAATTTAAAGTTTGACAATATATACATTAATATAGATATTATAATCATAGTTGTTTCCCCATCCTCTTCCATGCATGTAAGAATTGTAAGGTGTGACAGTATGACGACTATGAACCATGAATTACTCCATTTCATATTGATTTTTTGAAGTCTCAGTCAAAGTCTTTGAAGGCTTTGATCAATAATACTCTTACGATTAATAAAAAATAATGAATTGATGTGATGTGATTTTTGTTAGATTCATCTCATCATGTGTTAATAAGAACTAGAATATTTTTATCATGAAAAGATGAAAATCAAAATCTGTCCTAAGAAAGTTGTGTTCTTATATACGTTAAAAATAACTTAATACAAAAGTTACAAAACTTGGGATACATTTTATGTTTAATGATTATATTATTTGAAAGATCAAAACCCAGTCACCCCAAGATTAATGATCAGCTAGATTAGTGTTTAATGTTCAGCTAGATTAGTTGGTTAATGCATGTCTCGACTCCTAACTTCTAGGAGTGATATTATACCCAAGATTTGTATCAAATTTTGTTAACATTACTTAGTCTTGGATATTAGTCTTACTTTTACAAAATTAGTCTACACTTATATATGCAAGTAATTATAATCAAATATAGCTATCTATTTTATATTTTTAAAAAATTTCTGATAAAAATACCAATGGAATCGTTACTATAAATCACCAGGCCAACACAAACATAAAAGGTGGCATACCATAGAAAGTTTACTTTTTTTTTTTTGTATCAATTTTACATTTAGAACATCCAAATATCCTAATTAATTTCACGTGTAAAATTTATAGACAGCCAAACAAAGAAAATATGAACAATAATCTAATCTAATATATGTAAATAAAGTAGGCCTTTTTGGAGAGCATTGAGAGCGCCACATAAGAAAAGGTATATTTTCAACCAATTAAAAATTAGATTTCTATTTTACTTTAGAATTAAAAAAATCACTCGCCACCTAAACAAAAGTGACGAATGAAATTTTAAATTTTTGCCACGTAGGTAAAAGCGACGAATAGTAATTTATTAGGATTTTAATTATTTAAGAACACTAAATTTTATATTTTTATTTGTTACAAAACTAAAAATAATCTTTAGATATTAGGATTTATATTATTTAAAAAACTAAAAAAATTATATTTTGATATTTAAAAAATATAAATTATCATTTGATGTTAATGGTTTTATGTAAATATATGATAATATGATACTTTCATACAAAATTTTAAAACTTATAATGCAAGAAAAAAATTAAGAGATCACCAAAAAAATATTTATATACAAAATGTATATAAAAATTTGTGCATCGCACGCCACATAAGCAAAAGTAATATTTCGAGCAATGAAAAATTAGATTTATATATTAATTTAGAATTTTAATATTCAGTCGCCATTTAAGAAAAAATTAACAAATGAAATTTGAGAATTGAAAACAAAAAAAAGTAATTTAAGATTTAAATTATGAAAAAAACAAAAATTATCTTTTATATTATATTTTAATTTTAATTTAATGATTTTATCTAACTATCAGATGAATGAGATAATATTTATTTCAATTTATAAAACTTAACAAAATATTTTACCTTAAATTAATGTTAAAATAATAGAATAGAAAATAAAAACAAAAATTAAGAAATTACAAAAAAAAAATATACAAAATGGAATGTTTAAAAACCGTGCACCGCACGGGCTTACATCTAGTATATATAAATAAAGTAAGTATTTTTCGGGAGCATTCGACGCGAAGGTATTATTTTGTCCAATGAAAAATTAGATTAATAATTTATTTTAGAATTAAAAAATTTACTCACCATCTAAGCAAAAGTGACGAATAAGATTTAAGATTTTGACACATAGGTAAAAAAACGAATAGAGAATAATTAAAATTTAAATTACTTTTAGAAACTAATAATTATCTTCTCTAATAAAATAAAATAAAAAAAATAAAACAACTAAGTAATAATTATTTTTTTACATATATGGATGCAAATTTTTAATCGCAAATATGTTTAAATTCTCTCAAGAAAATATTGTAAAAGTTTGATTTTAATAATGTACTCATCGACACGAATAAAACTAAATCTCATATGACTAATTTCCCATAATATTATATAGTTAAACGAATATAAATGAGACTAACACTTTAAACAGAACGATTATATTAAATAAACGCATAGGCAAAATACTTATTTAATCAATAAAAAAAACGAGATTTGTCATTTCTTTTTTGAATTAAAAAATTTAAATTTTCACATAAGCAAAATTAGTGAATAAGGTTTGACATTTTAAATTCAAGCATCACATAAAATAAATAAAACAACAAAAGATAACTTTAGTGTTAAAAATAAAAAAATTGTCTTATGATATCAGGAATTTTATCTATATATTTAATGAATGGTCTTCATAAATATACACAATTTTAAATTAAATAAAATGATTACTAAGACCGTGCATCGCACGGGCTTACATCTAGTTTATCAACTATAGAAGGATAAATAAATAGATAGATATCGATAGTAGATATTGTGTTAGCAGATCATTTCACATTTTTAGCATTGTTACATGCTTCGTGTTTATATGCTGCCATATATAGTAAATACTGTGCTTCGTGTTTCATTTCATTGTTAATACTTACTGATGAAATCTGCAATGGTACGTCCATTAGTAAACCTTCCGGTAGGAACTCCGCCAGGAAAATCGACACCATACGGCGAATAATTAGCTTTAGCCATAGTATCTAGGGCATTATTGTTGCCTGCATCTGATAGCGAATCTCCAAAGATAAAGTAACATGGCACCTCCGGATCACCATTAACGAAATTAGAGCTAATTGCAACAAGAACAAAAAAAAATTACTCGAATTCGCAACATTCTTTTTGTAATTAAGGTAATGAATTGAATTACCTTTGAACTATGAATGATTTATTGCATTATAAGATTAAATGTAGTGATGTTATTTATAGCGGGATTCTTTAATATGGAGTATAAAGTTACAAAAAATTTAAAATAGATATTAAAGTCTAACAATCATTACATTTTTACGGTCCTTTGTTTGGCCCATAGGTTGTATTATTGATCTACGCAGCCTATGATGGTAAAGTTGACAATTTGCCTTTTAATTGAAAGTTTGTTAGTCAAAGAAAATAAAGCATTATTTTTTTCACATCAATATAGTATACTTTAAAGATTACAAATTTTAAAACATCCATTATTGGAGTATTATATTTCATTTGGTGAGGGAATATATTCTTTTTCAACAATATGCTATATGCATGAGGACTTTGATCAAATTATATCTTCTACATTTACTTTAGACTTGTATTTGTGGGAAAGACACTTAAGAGTAGAGGGTTAGAACGTTCAAAAGGGGTAAGGGAGTTTCCACTCTCAAACATTATATCCTCACTTGAAAGGCATCGAACTCCAAATTTTAAAATATGAGATAAGAATCTTACTAAATAAGTCAAGTCTTGGATGATAATGAGTTGAATAAGCTGACGTAAATATAAGGCATGTATGATAAAGTTATTACTATATTAGTGGACAACTTGCTTTGGTCATGATATAATAATTAACATCCTATTGTTTTCTCCAATAATACGTGTTTGAATCAGTTCATAAGATGTAAATATTCTTTATTCTATATGTCTTATGCCACCATGCCTAAATATAAGAATTTTCTATTAAAAAAAACATGTTTACACGTTGGTCGGAGCATTACAAATAGATTAAAATATTAAAAAATAAAATTCAAACATGTGGATCGAGTTTTAATATCTGGGGTCAAATTTGATTTGCTTTGCTGTTGCTAACATGGGTATATGATATCAAAATGAAATAAAATATCAACTAACGACGATTGCATTATGGATACTTTGTTGTAGAATTTTTGCGTGATGGGATTTGAACCGAGGGCTTTTCTTAAGATCTGGACGTGCATTCGAATTTTTGTGTGATCTTGAGGAATTAATAATGTCTAAAAACTCCCTTACAGAGGCGAATATAAAACATTCATTCATCAACTTTGGATCAAGTCAAAGTCAAACTAATATACGGAGTATTCGTTTTCACTTAAAATTAAAATTTTATAAAAGTATTCCGTTATTATCGAGGACAAAGGTAATAATTGGATAAATAAAACTTAGGGTCTGTTCATATTTACTGAACATAACTTAACAAAAATGAACTGAATTGATTGGAGCTGAAATGAATAGAGCTAAAATGAATATCTTATGAGAGAAGAAAATTAGGAGCTGGACTGAGCTGAATTGATTGGAGCTAAACTGAACTAAGCTAGACTAAAGTGAAATTAAGCTAAAGTGAACAGACCCTTAGGATCAAATCATGCTTATGCTATACATTTATTTTTTGTGTCTTTCTCAATATTGAATTTGTCTTGCCCTATGTTGATTTCTTACTCATTTCAAATTTGAATGTGGTACTCTATTTTTTTTTATTTTTATTTTTTTTTGGTAATTAAGAACTGGAATTAGAAGCTTAGAAAAGTAGGAGGTTTACAGAGTTCAGGCCTTGGCCTTCTTACAACCAACACAACCATATCTAAGGTGGGTTCAAAAGTGGTGTACTTACACCCAAATTACAGTCTCGATGAGAATTAGTAATTAGTTTGTTTCCAAAAGAAAAGCTACTGCCATTACATAAGTCAGCTCCTGGTGTAGGAGGAAGAATAAGTACACAGATAGTTAAATTAGCAGATTTTTAAAGTCCCATTCATCCCTATTTGAAGGTGTTAGAGTCACCATAGCTTGCTTAGCCGCCATATCTGCTGCCCTGACTCGAGCCCTAGGCCCTTTGGAAAGCTTTCCCTTTGGTATCCCTTGTAAAAGGTCCCTACAAAACAGATAGTGATTTCCCATTTCATCGAAATCAGAGTCATGGTTGTTTATGCCTTTGAATGCCCTCTGGAAGTCTGATATGATTGTGACATCCTCCCAACCTTTCATGATAATCTATGCAACAGCAGAGGTGATTGTCATTGTTTTATCCATTAGGGCAGAATTTGCCCAAGAGTTAGGGGCAATACCTTTAACCCAATTATCATGCTGGTCCCTACAGATACTAGCAAAGCTGGCTGTCTTACCCTGGTCCCTAAAGGAGGCATCAACTATTATGTGGAGGCTGGAATCCACATGGTCATGGGGGATAGGATATCAGAATTACTGGGTAGAAGGGAAGAGTTAAGACCCAAAAGAGTTATCTCAGTAGCCCATGCTTTAGCAGCATGGATAAGGTTGGAGATGGGGGTGGATTTCTTGTTAAAGACCCACTTATTCCTCCTAATCCAAAGTCTCCAGGTTAACAGGGCAAAAGATTAGTTCCAATGGAGATTGAGGGTAGAGTGGTGTAGGGTCATTTCAAAGTTTGTACTCAACCAATCCCATGTATTGAGGTCCTGGTTTATGATTGGGGAGGGGGTGACAGAGTTCCAAAGCTCCTTTTCTCTATTGCAGTCCCTAAGAACATGGGTTATGGTTTCAGGGATGCCAAGGCAAAAAATGCAAGATCTAGAGGTTATAATGAGCCTAGAATGGAGATGGTCTGCAGTGGGTAACCTATTCCATAAGCCTAATCAAAGGAAGAATTTAGCAGATGGGGGGATTTAGAGTTGCCATAGTTTGGAGAACATGGTCCTGAGAGGGGAATGATGGACCATTTGATGGTGCCACAGGTGGAGGTAAGCTGATTTGGAATCAAAGAAGTCCCCTTTACCCAAGGAAGAAAAGATCTGGTCCTCACCATAACAGGGGGGACAGTGCTATAGATGTGGGAGATGACATTTGGGGGACGAAAGTGGTAAAGAGAAGTGAGATAAAATGTCCCCTGAGAGATGACGGAACTGACAGTTAGGCTATCCTGCTCCTCTAAAAGGGGGCCTTGAACAGAAGATCTAAGAGGTCCTAGGCCTGACCAATTGTCATGCCATAGGAAACAGATGTTACCCTCACCAATAGCCCATTGGTAGAAGGAGGTGAGGAGATCCCAGCCTTTCCCAATGTCTTGCCAAATGTGGGATCCATTAGTGAATTTTTTAGGGTTCTGTCTTTGACAATATTTCTCCTTTATGAGGGTGGCAGAGAGGTTTCTTGAGTTTTGTATTTTCCATCCTAGCTTGGATATTTGGACCTTATTTGGCAGGTGGATTAGTCTATACACTAGACCTCCCACATCCTTAGGGCACCAGATCTTGGACCAGGCAATGAGAGGGGTTTTCCTTTTGTTAGAGGTAGATCCCTAAAAAAATCTATTGCATATTTGATCAATATGGGAGGCAAGATTTTTGGGGAGGAGGATGGCTTGCATAGTGAACGCTGGAATTGCAGCAAGGGATGACTTGATAAGGACAACCCTACCAGCCTTGGAAAGATTTTTTTATATCCAAGCATTTAATTTGGAGTTTAGCTTTTTGGTGGTATGGCTAAGGTGGGAGAATGTTGGTCTTTTGTCAATGAGGGGGAAACCCAGGTAAGTACCCAGATCATCACTCTTGGAGATGTTAATTAAGGGATGAAGTGAAGAGGTCTCTGATGAAGGGGGATGCATTTTTTGAGAAGTAGAGTTTACTTTTGGCAGTGTTCATGTACTGCCAGAGATATATCAAAAAGATGAGAGGGTGGCTTGCATGCTAGCTAGGGTGTTAGAGGATGCCTCCCCAAATCGAAGCAGGTCATCAGCAAACATAATGTGTGAGACAAGGGTGTTGTGCTTTCTGAACCTAAAGGGTTTCCAAGAGCCTTCTTGAAAAGCAGACTCAATGAGAAAAGATAGATAATTCATGTAGATGATGAAGATATAAGGGGACAGTGGGTCCCCTTGTCTAATGCCTTAAGAGGCAGAAAAGTTATTGGAGTTAACTCCATTAACTTTGACTTGGAAAACAGGGTTTGAGATGCAATGCATGATGAAGTGTATGGATTCATCATCAAATCCAGTTCTAATGAGGCAGAACTGAATAAAGTTTCATTCAAGTCTTTTATAGGCTTTTTCTAAATCAATTTTTATAGTGAACCAGGAGCTAAGGCCATACTTCTTTTTCATAGAATGGAGAATTTCAGAAGCTGAAATGTAGTTGTTCTCACACCCTCTGCCTGGAAGGAAGCTGCTTTGGTTTAGATAAATGATGGAATTTAGGTAGGGCCTTATCCTATTGACTAAGATTTTTGTGATGATCTTATAAGAGGACATAGGTGTGTTAGAGGCTTATGGGTCTGAACTGCTTGTTGGACTCACGGTGTTGGACTTTAGGGATTAGAAAGATGCAGGTGTTGTTTGCTCCTAAGGGGAGGGACTTGAAGGAGAAACAGGTGTGGCAGAAGGTAAGCAAGTCTGGCCACATTGTGGCCCAATGTTGTTGAAAGAAGAATGGGTGGAACCCATTAGGTCCATGAGCCTTGAATCTACCCATGGAGAAGATAGCCTGGTGAATCTCTATAATAGAGAAGGAGGTAGGTATGCTGAGATGGGGCACAGGGGGTTTCTCATCAGGAATGAGGCAACCCTGGCTGGAGAACAGAGAGGAGAAAAAGGATGTAAAATGGTTAGATAGCATATGCTCAGGATTGTCTTCCCCTACCTAGTTTTTGATGTTTTGGATCCTATTTCTCCTTCTTTTAATTAGTATAGAGTTGTGGAAAAGACTAGTGTTCCTATTCCCTCATTTAACCAGGATATTCTAGACCTAATTGCCCAGAAGGCTTGTTCTTCCAAGTAGGCCTTGGATAGGTTAGAGCACAGAGTTAACTCAAGATTGAGGAGAAATGGATTGGTAGGTTCTGCCTAATAGCCTTTTGGGTACCCACCAATCATTTTAAGGTATGTCGAATGACTTTCCTAAAGTTTGGGAAATTTTCAGAGGTCCAGGTTGAGATTAAAGGGGTTATAGCAGATAGTTTATCAGTAA